GAAGGATATAAAGTGGGGTTTGGTGAATGTAGTGGTAAAATCATGCCTACTAAGTATAGGGAATGATTTTTGTTTTCGTATTGACAATGTATAGTGAACATGCTTTGTATTTATTATTCATAGTAATCTTAGTATAACAGATTTAAAATGATACATTAACAAGTTTTTATTTACAAATAAATATAAAAAAGTAATAAATAAATTATATGCTTCTAGCATAGCAAATATATACATGTCTATTGTTATTGCTTTTTTCATCCGTCATCAGTTTGCTTTGTTTAACCTGTTTGTTTTTTATCATCAGTTTGCTTTGTTTCATCAGTTTGTTTTTTATCATCTGTTTGCTTTGTTTCGTCTGTCTTCTTTGTTTCGTCTGTCTTCTTTTTTTCATCTTTACAAATCCTAAATATTTCACTAGTCTCATGCTCTTCTGGGTTACTTACCAACGCAATAACTGCAACATAAGACCCGGCAGGCCAACCTGTAGTTTTTATTGCGATGCCTCCAGCAGACGCGTCCTGTACAGTTTAAAAAATCATTTATAAACATGATAATAGCGGTAGATTATTATTAATACCTTCGAGATCACGGGGTATTATTATTACTAAACAAACAATACTTTTTTATATACGATACTTACGACAATATTGGGTTCATTCTCAGTTTTAAATATAGGGTTGTTATAGTAAAGTACTTTTACTCGCACTTTTTCTATATTATTTTATTATTTTTAGTAATTCGAAGTTATAAAAAATAAATAAATAAATAAATAAACGGGTAAAAATCAAAAATTATCATAATATACCAGAAAGCGAACTAGTCCAAGTGATCTTCAACTCAGAATCTGTTTGAAAGCACTGATCTTTTTTTGGTGAGGTAATCTTAATGCCTGAATGTTGTTCCTTATTCTTTCCTTGGGAACTTGAAGCTGTTGTTTCTACAGGTTTTTCATTGGATTTTTTATCATCGGATTTTTCGCCAGATTTTTTGTCATCGGATTTTTCGCCAGATTTTTTGTCATCGGATTTTTCAACAGATTTTTCATCGGATTTTTTATCATCCGATTTTTCGCCAGATTTTTTATCATCCGATTTTTCAATAGGTTTTTCATCGGATTTTTTATCATCCGAAGATTTAGCAGGAAGGTTTTCTTGAGCTGCTGGGTATGCCCAAACTACTGTTGAAGAGAGTAATACAATACATAAGATGATATATAAAAGTTTCATTTTTTATTATTAATAGCAACGAAGAATAAATAAAATTTTGAAATTTAAAGATGTGAAGAAAAAAAACGCGTATACTTATCCAGGACTTTTTATAAAATTTGTTGTTATATGCACAGTAACTCGATTTTGATTTTTAACTAATAGTACATTACCAAGCCTCTTTCATAAATGTCTTCGGAAAGGCTTTGCCAACATTGTAATAATACTTATTTCTTTTATTAAAAGGCTTTGATAGAAATGTAAGATCTAATGTTTGTATATTCTTATAAATTTTCGATAAAAAATGATCAAATATAAAGATCTAAATTGTAAACGATAACAATATTTTGTACAAAGTCGCGTGAAAGAACAATTTTGGCAACAGCCTACCAGCATTTTTTTTTAAATTGTGGCTAAATCAGGTCCATAATGCAAAGCCTTAAAAACCCTCGGTTTAGAAGTACCGTTTGCAAAATACTCTTTATTGGTAACCTATGTATTTATCGGTTAAATGATAAAAGGTCAAATCCCTAAAGATCTTTGTAGCCTTATTTTCTCATCTTTTAAGATATATATTTCATAAATACACAATGTGTAAAAAAGAACTTTTGCCTACACAAAAATTATTGAAGCCTCTTATTTAGAATGCGAGTTTGCGGCATTTCTTACAACATTCTAATTTTGTATTGATCTTGCTATTATTTCTAGAATTCTTTCCACGCCCACGGCTAATCATTCATTCCATTTACTCACTAGTTTTCGCTAAAGAATAAGTCAAAGTCGAAACTTAGCCGGTTCTTGTATCACTTTACGTTAAAAAATATGTTTGGTTACTTTATTATATTTAGTAATTAAAAAAAAGTTTTATCACGTGTATAATTTTGATCTTTTTCATAACTGCAGTATTCGAATTTTCTCTGCCCCATCTTTCTGAGGTAATTTGATCACATTGCGATCTGAAGTATCTGTCCGATACAATCTTTCTTAGCAAATTTGCGTTTTTCCTCAACCTCTTGCATGTACCAATTTAGGATACGTAATAATTCATTTAATTAATGCGATAATCTTTTTTTGGAATTCAATAATTAACAGTTTTTTTTTTTTTTTACGTATAATATTACGATTAAGGTTAATTTTTTTGAATATCGAAGATCGACGACAAAATTTCAAGAATTTGACCTTGAATTGTTTGTCGATCAGAGTTGATCAGCAGTAATTAATACTTATCGTTATTATTTACGCTTATCATTTACAAAACTGTATTGTTTTTTAAATTTCGTATTCCTTGAGAACAGCTATCTGGATATGTCTCGCTGATGTATGGTCACGTGATAGCATGGCTTATCTGTTGTGGACAGTAATCATGAGACCGATTAACTAAATTACTATTTCTAACGCTAATGTTAACAGATCATCACTGTTCGGAATTTCCTG